GCCATAAAACCTCGAGCTGCACTGTAGGTGAAGAAGAGTTTATAGCTGCCTGAGGGAAGGACCCAGGCCTGCCCTACTTTGGGGGAGGTTCTCTCCTCCCTCCATTTCTAAAGGGGAGCAGGCAGCAACTCTTCCAAAGGAAACATGTATTCTATCAGGGAAACTGAGGTACCAGGGTCGTTTGTGATCCAGAAGCACGTGTGTTAGCCCAATCCAGTACAACATCCAGAGACCACAAGTTGGCCTCTTTGCTAGGACTGTGACACCTAGCAGTGCCCAAAGTTGTGGTGGGTTGTTCTGTGGAAAGGTGTGGTTTGAATCACACACCTTTCTATGGAAAGGTGTGTGATCTTGTCTTGAACAAATCTAGAGACAGGACAGACTCCCTTTCGTTCCTATTGGAGACCGGGGCAGTCTTTAAGGGCTTGGTCCCCAAGGCTGTCCATCCTGCCTTCTCTTCAGCCAACTTTGAGGCCCTGGGATGTGATGGTTTTAACCCGGGTGTGGTGATGCATGCCTGTGTGCTCCTGAGTGTTGGGAGGCTGAAGCAGCAGGGTCTCTGTGAATTTGAGACCAGCCTGGATTACATAGTGAGAACCTGTCTCAAAAAAAAAAAAAAAAATGCACCAGGCGTGGTAGCTCATGCCTGTAATCCTAACACTCAGGAGGCTGAGGCAGGAGGATCATTGCAAGTTCAAGAGGCAAGCCTAGGCTACAAAGTGAGCTCAATGCCAGCCTGAACTGCATAGTGAGACCCTGTCTCAAAAAGACAAAAAAAAAAAAAAAAACATGATACTTGTAACAAGTTATTATGCTCTTATGCGACGAGAAACAGGGAAATTTGGGGAAAACAAAGCCAACCCCATCAACCCATTTAAGACTGAGAACCAACTAAAGGTGGCAAAAGGGTTCAGCTGGGAAAGATCTACCTCAGTGTATATTGTTCTCCTTTGAAAATTTAGACGAGTCAAATTTTATGTGTGCAAAAGTCAAAAGAAATGGCCTTAAAGCGAGATGCTAACATCTCAGTGCCGTGTTCAAGGTTGAAACATGTGAGTCTATTACAGTGTTTTCTCCAGGGATCTCATCTTTGATACTCATTCCAAAACTGCACAGGGGGAGAGGCTGGCACAGTGGGGCACATCTGTAATCCCAGGAGGCTGAGGCAGGAGGATCTCTGTGAGTTCAAAGCCAAGCTGGGCAACAAAGTGAGTTTGAAGCTGTCCCAAACTGCGTAGTGAAATCCTGTCTCAAAACAAAAAGATGAAGAAAAAAAAAAACTCTCTTAAACAATCTCATAATGACCCTGTGAGAAAAAGCACATTATGAGTGCAGAAATAGTAGCTTTTAGAAGGAACAGAAAGGGTGAAGAGGAAGACAAAAAAAATGAGGGAGGCAAAGCTGTCTGTGCAACTCTTTTTGTAATAGGACATCGTTAATCCTAATATGAGATCTGCTCAAAAACTACTATGGATGTTTAAATTTTTTTAAAGAAACTTTTACAGTAAAGAACGCTGTGCCACGAATCTCCCTGTTTGAACACACTCATCCCATCGTCCGCCACTTTCTGCCGCAGCTCTGGCGTCCTCTTTCGGGTGTGTCTTTAGTTGGGCCATCGTGGTCTACCTGAATCAGTTAAAATTCTTCCCTTTCACAGTCATTTTGATTTTGGGGAAGAAACTTTGTGATGCCAGATCCCATGAACAAGGAGACTGAGGACACCGTGTCGTGTTTTTATCCCACAGAAATCGCTGTACGTGTTGGGTCATTGCAGGATGCTTTAAACAAAAAATACAATTTACCATATGTTCAGTATGTATCCAATGTGTGTGAAGATGGGGACAACTATTTGGAAGAAAACTAGAGACAGTGAGATAGGCAGTGAAGAGCTCCAGTGGACTTGCTTTGAAATCTGTGTTTCTTTAAATTGGTTCTTTTTGAGCTGTTTTGTTCTGCTTTGATATGTTTAATCTTACCTCCTTTAAGATAAAAAACAAGTGTGTAGGACTGATAACCATATTACTAAGTTTTTGTTGGTTCATTGAGCAGAACTGTTGGCAGGGTCACTATTTGAATGTCACTTTACATACTTTAATTTTGTAACCTGAACAGCTATTTCTAAGATGACAACTTATCAACTGGTGATTTCTTACTGTTTATTTTTCTGTAATTCTGTATTATTTCTACCCTTTTTCTCTCCACTTTTTGTTTCTTTCTCTTTAAATAAATAACATTAAACAATACAATTTACCAGCGCATTAGAGGAGCAACCACATTGCGCTCCCCCCCTCCCCCCGCGCGCCAAACACTACCCTTCCGGGGTGCTACTGACCCCACACTGGCAGCGTCCCTTACCGCAGCAGCTCGCCTGTCTACCACCCTAGTTACGGCTCCCAGCCTGTCCAGAAAGGGCTCCAGGGCTTGGACCCAGACCCCTACAGTCTTCCACCCCCCACCTCACCCCACCCCCGTGGCCAGCAGGGATCTGCGCTATAACCCCGAGCTCAGGTAGCTGCAGGGGAAGCGCAGGAGCAGCCACGGAGGCCCAGAGGTGCGGGCAGGGAGGCTGAGACAGGGAGGCCGCGCACCCCTGCTGCACGCCCTCCGCTCCGGGGAGGCCAGGAGCCGGCTCCCTCCCTGCCCGCTGGCAGCTCAGCGGGGCGCCCCTGAGGCCAGTGGGGTGCGCGTCTGCAGGTGCCAGCTACTGCGCAGCGATAACTCTGGGTTTCAGCCCGCCTGCCCAGAAAAGCAGAAAATCCGCGATTTTCCTTCGCAGGGCCATTTACAGTAGAGAAAATGGGTCTCTGTGGATGGGAAGCCTGGCTTTTGCATCCCTCTCTTGAATTCGATCTGTTTCATCTTCGTGCCTCAGGGACGTCCCCTGCGCACACGCACACGTGCTTTGTGTTGGCTTTAATCGTGTTCCCCGTTTGCACCCCCCAGTCCCATTCCAGGGCTGGAGCGGCAGGCAACCCTGGTCCACCCTTTAGTGGCCTGAAGGGGAGGACAAATAAAAGGGCGGCATTTCTGGAAGCTCCGGAGACTCCTACTAACTAGATGAAGCGCTAAATCTGTAAGGAATTGGCCGAACAACGTGGTGGTGCCTACCTGTAATCCCAGCACTGGGGAGGCTGAGGCAGGAGAATTAAGGTGATTCTGAGGCCAGCGTGGGCTACATATTGAAACCTTGTCCAAAAAAAAAAAAGGAATCAGCCAACTGAACCAGATGAGGACATAAAAGAGAACCTCTGAGGTGACTAATTCAGAGTCTTAGACCCTGGGTACTTCTTCCCCGTGACCCCTTCCTGCTGACCATGGATACTGCACTTTTCTGAGTCACCTTGGCGGTGTGTCTGCCCTGCTCCTGGGGACAAGAGCCCTCGGTGGCCCGCTCTCTGCTCTCCACCTGACCACCTTCTGGAACCTCAGAAGTACCGGGTCATGGAGGACTTCCTCACCTCAGGAGGCCCAGTTTCCCGGGGTCTGAGGATGCGGACCCCTCCCCTTGAGAGCTCGCTCCCTGTTCTCTGCCTTCGGGCCTTAGGGTTAGCCTTCCCGCTGACCTCTCCTCCTGGTCCTCTAACACAGGACACCTTCATTCCCAGTGTTCAGGGTCACCTCTGTGCCTCCACCCTGCACCTCCTTGCTGGCCTCCCGCGGCCTCCCTGCCCCCTGGATTTGGGCCTTGGCTGTGGAGCAGTTCCCTCCCGGCTGCTGCTCCTGCCCGCGGGGCCTGCCAGGGTCTTTCCCTTCTGCCCCAGGAGCTGCTTTCCCCAGCTGATCCTGGGGAGCACCACGGGAGCTCTCGGAGCTCTTCTGTCCTTCTCAGAAGTCCTGTTCCCTGGAGCGCTGGCCTCAGCAAGGGACACCTGGGCTCCTGCCCTTCCCCATCTCTTTCCCTACTCAGCCGCTCACAGCTCACATGGTGGCAGCACTCCCCAGCCAACTGCCCACGCCAAGGTCCTCTTTCTGACAGACCTTGTATTTTAGAGCAGTTGTAGGCTCCACACCTTCCTCTTGCCCCATATCTGCCCACTCCAAGGCACCATTGCCAGCCTACAGGGCCGTACTGGCAGCTCATTTGCTGCAAGTGATAAGCAGACGGACATCTCGTTATCACATGTGCACTGGGCCCCCAAGCTGTGCATTCTGTGGATCGGGAGAAATTAAGGCCACCCCTCCCCCCGTATAGCAGCACATGGTCCTCCCACATCCCTCAGGTTCCTCCTCACCCATCCTCCCCTACACTGGGCAAACACAGATGCTTTTTCTGTCAGCACTCTCTTCACATTTCTGGAAAATAACCTAGTGGAAATCTCACCCTGTGTGACCTCACACTGGCTTCTTCCACTTGGGAATATGCATGTCAGGGTTCTCTGTGGGTTGTCACAGCTTGACAGCTCTTTGCTGTGGTGTTCCGTGGTCTGGATGGACCCTTGTTATCCATCGCCCCACTGAAGGACGTGTTAGTAGCGCCCATGTTTAGGTGATTGTGAATAAACTCACCATAACATCCGCACACAGATTTTCGTGTGGACCTGTCTCCAGCTTCTTTGGACATGCATCAAGCATCACGATTGCTAGCTTATATATCCAAAGTGGCTATACTTTGTGGGGTCCCAGCTGCACCCCGCCCTCCCCAGCCTCTCTCAAGTTTTGAGACTGTGGCCATCCTCATAAGAATAGAGCTGCATCTCACTGTTGCTTTGTTTTCGTTTCCTCAGTGCTGTAGGAAGTGAGGCACTCTTTTCACTGCGTACTTGGAATGGGGTGAAGAGTTGGGTCTTGGGAAGCATTGGTTAGTCCATGTTTGCAGTGCACAGAGGTCAATTCATGGGTGGAGCTGGTCCACACATGCCCCCTGGTCTCTCTCTCCTCCCCCATGCCCCCCACTTTGGTCCCTTCCCTGCTTCAAAAGAGTTATCTCCTGGTTCCTATGATCTCTCTTTGATTTTGCTTTTTATACTTCGGGTTTCTCATAGAAGAGAAACCCTGTCACATTTCAGCTTGCACGTCTCATTTATTTCCCTTAACGATATGGTCTCAAGGTGCACCCATCCCCACGGCTGCGCACTGAGGTCTTGGATGTATTTCCTTGCTGTGCTGGGAAGTGAACCCCGGGCCTTGTGCATGCCAGGCGAGCACAGCGCTGGGCTCCACTGTCTGCCCACGAGCCGCTTTCGTGGTACTCAGGTTCTTGCTTCAGCCTCTGCGGTTAGTGAGACTCGCCAAATTCTTAATGGCTATGACAGCGTGACAGAGGTCACAAGGGCTCAGGAGGTTACTGGGTTTTGTGGGTCGCCTTTCAAACCCTGAAAAGAAAGCACATAGCGTGGAGTAAATCCCAGGTAGATGTTGCAGGGGCTGAGTGCACCCTGCACAGCCTTGGCTTCCCTGAAGGGTGCACAGTATCTCAGTGCCTGTCGGGGCAGGGCCTAGACTGAGAGCCAGGATGGATGCCATGGCATGTGTTTCCCAGCTGTTACAGGGCAGTAGTAGGGTCCTGAGGCCTGATATAAGGTTGTTTAGGTGGTCTCATCCAATAAGATTGCATCTTAGCCTTGGGTGGTGACGCGATCGTATAATTCCAGCCCTCAGGAGGCTGAGACAAGAGGGTCTTCATGTGTTCAAGTTCAGCATGGATTACCTATCCTGAGATAGGTACCTCGCTACCTGAGATAGAAAGACCCTATCTCAAAAAAGATTGTTTTTAAATTTCTTCTCGCATGTCTCCCAGACCTGCAACACCCCCATCTGCCAATAAGGAACCTCAGTATCTGCAGGTCTCATGTAGAGCCCCCAAACCCAGCAAGAGGGCATCTCCTCCGAAGGCTCTGCAGCTGCTCCCCTTAGAGCTTTGGAGCCACAAATGGGGTTCCCGCGCAGAGGGTGTAGCCACACCCAGCACTGGGCCCTGCGGCTCCTGTGGTGGCCTCAGAGGAGGCCGATGTAGGCGGTGCCCAAACCTGATGGGGGCGCTGTTGGTCTTGGACTCTCCCCTGGGCCTGGGGTCCGGTGTCCAGGCAGTCACCTGCCCCCGCTGCCAGAGCTGGCTCCCCTCTCCTTGCAGCTTCAAGGTCACCGTGGCAGAGCACTGTAGAGGGCAGAAGCTAGAGATGGGAGACGAAGTTACCTGCGGCTGCGCTGCTGCAGAGGCCGGCGTGTGGCTCCTACTAAGACAGGTAGGGACAAGGAGCCGGGACCAGACTAAGGTCATGCACAGCGCTGGGGAGATGCAGAAGTTTCGTTTTCTTGTTTTTGTTTTTGTGAGACACGGTCTCCAATATAGTGCAGACTGATCTTGAATTCACCATGTAGCCCAGACTGACCTCGAACTCCTGTCAGTCCTCCTGCCTCAGCCTTTCAAGTGCTGGGACTACAGGTGTGCACCATCATGCCTGACCTGAATTCTTTTAAAAATTAGAGACCAGGCCATAACATTGATAGTCAAGGTGGAAGTAATTACTGTAACAGATGGCAAAGCCACAGAAACAATCGGTATTTCACTTTGCTTTTGTGGGGAGTGGAGGGGATTTGTCATTGTTGTTGTAGTTGTTTTTATACTTGGGCTTGAACCCAGGGCTTGTCATCCCTGGTCCTTTGGTTGTTTGTCTATTTATTTATAATGGAAACAAATGAAACAGAAAACAATCTACTTGGAAAAGACCAGGGAAATAAAATTTTAACAAAAAGGAAAAAAATGCTAAAACAAGAAGCAAATGAAGATCACAAATCTTAGAAAAATAATACTTTAGGGGAATATTATGACAAAGGGATACGAACACATTAGATAACCTAAATCTACAGCTTCTTATGAAAACATAATACTGAATCTGCCTCAACCAACAATAGGCTGAGCAGATGGATAACAAATAAACAAATGGGATTAATGATTCAGAAACCTCCCACAAAGAAAAGTCCAGGCCCAGATGGTCTCACTGGTGTATTCCACCAAACATTTATGGAAAATTAATTGGAATTTTCCAAAAGAGAAAAAGAGGGAACGTTTCCAGCCTCATTGCATGAGGCCAGCATTATCCTGATATCCAAACCAGGCGTAGAGAACTGAATCAAATGATAAAGGTAGACAAAACTCCCAGATAAAACACTAGCCAAGCAAGAGGGGAGATGAAGAGACAAGTCACGACTAGCAAATGGATTCATCCAGGAATACAAGGTTCTTATGACAGCTGAAAAATCCAAGAAAAAACAAGACCATGTAATCATTTCCCTGTGAGGCATTTAACAAAAATCTAACATTCATTTATGATAAAAGTACTAAACAACTAGTAATAAAAGGGAATTTTGTCAACCTGATAATGAGCACCTGGCAAAAAATACTACTGCTTGTTTGATGGTTGCTGGAGGAAAATGGAATGCTTTCCTCCTTGAGAACAGGCTCAATAGCAAAGATCAGAAAACAGAGATAGTTCCATACCCAGCACCACAAAGCAGAACACAACAGCAGGATCAGGAACAGGCCAGAGGTGCTCCTGCCTGCCACTTCTATTTCACATGTGCTGAAGGTTCTATCCAGGGCAATTCAATAAAAAGAAATAAAGCAGGGTGTGATGGCCAACACCTATAATCCCACATTCCAGTTACTCAGGAGGCTGAGTCGGGAGGATTGCAAATCTAAGAAAAGCATGGGAAAATTAACAAGACCTTGTCTCAGTTGGGGGTGTGGGATAGTCAGCATTAAACCCGAGTCCTTTGAACTGATCTACATCCCTAGCCTTTTTTTAGAGTATCCCTAAGTCATTAAATTGTCCAAGCTGGGCTCTAACTTTGTGATCCTTCTGCCTCAGCCTCCCTAGTGCTATGATTACAATTATGTGCCACCAGACTTAGCTAATGGAAAGAATGTTTGAAAGGAGAAATGGGATGCAGATGTAATTTAGGGGTATTATTTGCCTAGCATATATAATCCCACAGAAAGAAAGAAAGAGTTAGAAAGTAAGAAATGCTATTTTATCAGGCAATACAATTTTTTATATAGAAAATCAGAAAGAGCTGGGGTGGTTTGTACCTATATTCCAGCACTTACAGACTAAGGCAGGAAAGTCAGTTGGTCTAGATAGCTAGGCTGGATCTCAACAAAACAAAATAAACAGACAAGCAAAACACAGAAATCCAGATGGTTTTTAAAAAGCTATTAGACATAATAAAGTTTAAGATTTTATGATGCAAGATTAGTATACAAAATCAATTGGGCACTGTAGTCCCAGTATTAGGGAGACTGAGGCAGGAGGATCACTTGTGCTCAAGAGTTCAAGACCAACCTGGGCAACATGATGAGACCTTGCCTCAAAAAAGAGAAAAGAAAAAACAAAAAGAAAAAAATATAGAAAAGTATATAAATATATATGATATATAGCATGCAAGATAATATGATATATGTATGAATACATGTCTATATATAAAGCAATTATAATTCTGTGAAACAGCAAAGAGCAATCTGAAAATACAGCTAAGACAACACACTCAAAAGAGTTAAATGCCTAGAAATAAATCTAAAATTAGTGCAAGACACTGGGCTAAAATCACTCACCGTACCCGGGAGATAACAGAAAACTAGAAAATGCTGAGAGAGATAAAGTTTAAGGGTTAAGACCTAACAAGCCCACAGGTGAGAGACTTAACGCACGGAACTCCAGCCTTCTTCGTTTTCCTAGCTAGACCTGTTTTTGAGATGAGGCTGGAGGATCCTGCTGTGACGGCCACCCCGTGAGACAGTGGGGGAAATGTCCAAAGGATGAGGAAGAGATCTTGTGCAAAGATCATCTGGAGACATTAACCCTCTCCTTCTCCAGGCTGTCAGGAAAACGTATATGTTGGTGCTAGTGGCAGCTCAAGGTAAGTGCTAAGACCTAGCAGTAGCCAGTCGAGGGGGCTCTAGGCCTCTGGTCACTTGCAGGAATTCTCAGTCCATAGATGATACACAGCGAGGTGGCAACAGATGCAAATCTTGTGAAAGTCAACCCAATCATTCCAACTTTTCAAGTAAGTATCGCTTCCAACTTGTCCTACATTTAATAGCGGAGTATGACCGTGTCCTACATGATTCACTGAGGACACAACTACAGCTTGTCTTTCTAGAGTGTCCAAACAGTCAGGACCTCAGCCATCCACTCACACTCCTCCCCGATGCTATGTTACCCCTGACTGATCAATCAGTTCATCTATTGTGCTCATGGCCAAAAATGTAGTTTTCTGGTATCCTTGTAGTTATGGACTATATTTAAGTTATTTCTGGTCTTAATAACTTTTAAAACTTCTTTGATAGCCATAGCCATCTAGTTACTGTTAGCACCCCCCAATAAAGTGATGGCTAAAATCATCATGAATGTGTGGTGCAGAGTTTAATTGAATGTTGCTTTTCATTTTGTGGAGTAGAGTTGGTTGTCAATATCTGCTCACAATTCCATAACTACAAACACTATGAACTATGGACAACTTTCTTCCCAGTGCACAATGGGGTGAAGAAGTGATGTGCCTGCCTCATGGAACTGTGTGTAGTTTCTGGGTTTGCTCCCCCAGAGTGGCTATCCTCTGAGAGTGGAGAACACGGTTCTCCACCACTGTGAAATTCCCAAGCTGGGGCAAAGGTAGTTTTGCAAAGTTATTGTCACTTATGGACAGGTCACCAAGGACAGGGCCATTCAAGCATATTAAGCCTCAGTTTCCAGTTTCTCTGAATGATAAAAGATGCCACTTGTGTTTGAAGGCCATAAGATTGAAAGAGGCAGCATAACCTAGTGAAGAGATGTGTGGCCCTGGAACCTACTGTCTGGGGTTACTCAAACCCCTGTGCTGCAATTCTTGCATTTGTGAAATGAGAATGCTAATGCCAGTGTTGGTGATAATGTGCATATCAGTAATTAATTATGTAAAATTGCTACAGAAATGCCAGGTACAAAGCAATAATTTCATATATATTAGGTCTGTGGCAATCACCATCAAAGCGGGAATCCCTTTTCTTTGGGTTTTTGAGACAGGTCTCATTATGTAGTCTGTGCTGGCCTTGAACTCACTATGTGACCCAGGACCATCTCCACATGTGATCCTCCAGCCTTGGCCTCCTGAGTGCTGAGGTTATGGGCATGGACCATCACATCTGGTGCTACCCTTTTAAACTGGAAGATATAGCTAGTGAAGTTTTATTTGGTCCTCTTGACTCTTGTTGTCACAGATTTCCAAGTGTTTTTCAATGACTGACTTACATTCCAGAACAGTTTTTCTAGAAAGACATTAAATTAAAATATAACAAAAGCAAAAACAGTATTTAGGCTGGGGATACAGCTCAATGGTAGAGCACTTACCTAGCATGCACAATACCCCAAGTTCCATCCCCAGTACCACCACTAAATACACATATCAGGACATGGAGTCCCATAAACTTTGTCTGTAATGACCAACTTGTTCTTAAATGATTCAGGGATTTCAGTTTCCTCACCTAAATACCAAAGGAAGCATTATTGCTTATAGTTGGGTGTTCCCCCAAAGCCTTGTGCTCATAGGTGAGGGTTTGGAGAGGTGAGGACCATGAAGGCATGATATTCATAGTGGATTGGTTCATGATGATGAATTCATGCTTAAATGTGACACTGGGAAGTGGAGCCTGATTGGAGGAGGGGCCACTGGGGGTGTGGCCTGGAATAGTGTTCCTCCCTCCCTTGGTCTCTCGGCTTTCTGATGCCACGTGGTGGTGAACACCTCTCCTCTGTGATGCCCCTCTGCTACACCATCCTGCCTTGGAGCTAGCCAGCTATGGACTGAGACCTCTACAAATGCGGGGCTGAAATAAACCTTTACTCCTTTAAATTGTGAGTGTTGGGTATTATGTCTCAGCAACAAGGGAGTAAGACAGAAAGTAAAGTAATAATCTGTAAGACCTTTCCAGTTCTGACTTTCTCCCCAAAGAAACTATATTTGATACTATTATCCTGAAGTAATTAGGACTTCACTTTATTAAAGCCATTTTTTAACATGTGTATGTCCTTAAATAAATTAAGCTCTTTTTCTATTTTTGTTTTATGGTACTAGGGATTGAGCCCAGGGCCTTTGCACTAAGCTATATTCCCAACTTTTTTATTTATTTTGAGACAAGTTCCTATTAAATTGCCCTGGCTGGGCTTGAGTCTGTGATATTTATTCCTGCCTCAGCCTTCCAGTGTTGGGATTATAGGCATAGACTGCCATACTTGCAAGAATCCCAGGCATGTTGGACCAGAAATATGACAAAGTACATTTTGCCATTATAGCTTTAAGAACAGCAGAATGTACTCTAAGTAGACATTTTCATAATCTTAGAAGATCCAACAAATTGACAATTTCAGGTCAGACTTGAAAGGGGAAAGAGGCCGCAGGTAGGATTCTCCAGGACAGCTGAAGTGATATTATAATACTTTTTGTTTTTACTTATTTTTATTAGTATGTATTTGCAAAACATAAATACATTTATCTTGGGGAGTCAGTACATATACATAACTCATCTTAATCATTTTCACTTCCTCAGTGACAATTTGGATAGTGCTTGTTTAAGAAAAAGTGGTTGTCTTTGCAAGAAGCACTTCTGGAAAGAAATGCTCGTCAGGGGAGACGGAAAGCACCAGCCAATTCCAGTATTTAAAGATAACACCATCTCAGGACAGGGGTGTCTACAGGGATGGGGAGACTGAGATGAAACGAAAAGAAAAAATAAAGTCCCCAGACCTGATGAAAGAGAAGAAAGGAACTTTCTGGAGGAACAAAGGAAAGGCGCAGAAATGTAGGGGAGGAAAACCACAAAAGAACGTCCCACTTAGGACAGTGATGCAGAAGTGCCGAGAGACCAGGGTGTGGACAGAGAGAGGGAGAGAGAGGAGATAGCTGCAGACCTGACAGTTAGAAAAACATCTTCTACATTCCGAAAATTAGGAGCGCCTAGAATCTACAATCTAGATGCTACAAAAGATTTTTTGAACCCTTTTAGATTAAAGGAGACTGGAGAGAATATGTAATTCTTGATGAACTGGTGCATTTTTAAAAAGTTATACAAGCACAGAGACATCAGGGAGACCTGAGTGCGGGTGACCCCGGCTGCCGTGTAGCCCATGAGGAAAGGACTGGGCAGCCGGGCTGCAGCTGCGCCCGTGTCACTCCGGCCACTCCGGCCCCTTCCGAGGGCCCGACGGGAGGCGGTGACAGCAAAGGGAAAGAAAACTCGGTGACTGTGGCTGAGGCTGACAGTTCTTGCTGTACACGAAGCATCTCCTGGCATTCATTGCTCTTGCTTTATTTTTTTATTTTTGTTGCCACTTTTCATAGGTTTGAAGTTCCTTAAATAAAATAAAATATTTCCCAAAAGCAGTCCCCACGCAAAACGTTACCGTGCGTGCGTTACGACATGGAATGCGGAGCAGCCCGAGTGCCGGCCGCGCTGGCCCAGGCCTGCTCAGAGTGGACCCGCTTCCCAGCTGGGCTCCTTCCTGTCGGGGTGCGCGGGGCACGGTGATGCCTGTTGGGCAACGTCGAGAGGAGGAAACGGGAACCTCAAAATGCAAAGGAAGTTTACGGTAAGATTTGTTTAAAAATTAAAATTCAATCCCCCATACTAAAAAATTTTAAATAAATAAAAAAAAAATAAATAAATTCAAAGACAGCCCAGGGAAATCCATGTGTTCTGCTGGCCTGAGACTGCAGTGTGGCGTCCTGAGTGGACACAGGGCAGGAGGGGTGCGCAGAGGCGGCGACTGTCTCCTCGCAGGCAGCTTGGGAGGAGGACAGACCCACTGGGGTGTCAGGAGGGGACGAGGACGGGGTGGGGAGCCGGAGAGCGACCCTGCCTGGGGCACCTGTGCCAGCTCCCCACGATGAGGTGGTCATCGGGCACTGCCCACGTGGGCTAATTACAAAATAGAGCCAGTAGAGAAGTGGAGAAGATCATTGTGCGTCTTTTCTAAAGGCGTGGAACTTAAAAAGGAGCCCTCTTCGGGGTGGAGAACCTCCGGTCCTAGGGAAGAGTCCTCGGGTCCCTGGGTTTAGAACCCCAAGGCCCAGTACTGGCCGGGATGCGAAGCGCGGTGCCTGGTAGCTGCTGGTTTAGGGGCGAATCTGTGCACAACCAAAGAGAAAGCAGCACGGGCAGAGGGGGCACCCTGTACAGAAACCGGGACGCAGTGACAGGAGGGGCTCACCGGCTCTGCAGGGCCTCCGGCTGGGTGCACCCAACACTGCTGCCCTGCGGGAAACGGGAAGGAAGGGAGACCCTGGCAGGAGCGGCGTGTACAGAGCTGCGTGGGCACCGGGTTTGGCTGGAGGAGAGTGTGCAGGAGCAGGGCCGGTGGCTCCCTGACTGTGAGCAGCATGGAGTGGCACCCTATCCTCTGAGACCGCTTAGCAGGGCACAGCTGTCTGAATGGCACCCGGGAGGCTGAGGCAGGAATGTCACCATGAATCCAAGGCCAGCCTGGAGTACATAGTGAGAGTGTCTCAAAAAAGACAGAGAGAGAGAGAGAGAGAGAGAGAGAGAGAGAGAGAGAGAGAGAGAGAGAGAGAGAGAAAGAAAGAAAGAAAGAAAGAAAGAAAGAAAGAAAGAAAGAAGAAAGACAGACCCTTGTCTACTGTCCAAGAGTGGATTTGAGTTCATTGCTGTGCACCGGAGGGCTGCAGGGAGCTCACTCGTGACCTCTGCCCTTGGGCAGTGGAACCAGAGCTCCCTGCATCTGTGGCCCACTCTCTGTGACCAGCCACGGTGAATCCTTAGTTCTGCGCCTCTGAAATCTCAAGCCACAAAAGCCGCATCTGCACGGCTACAGAAATCCTTGGCACCTCTCCGAGGAGGGAAGAGCTCCCACCTCCCTGGTGCTGACTGGACATCAAAGGGCCACACAGAGGAGAACAAGCAACTTAGGCTTCAGTCAGTTTGGCTTGACACGCTTTTGTGTCTTCTAGTCACTGTCCTTTTAAAAAAGATTTTTTTTTGGTACTGAGGATTGAAATCAGGACCTTTTCGCTGACTCACAGCTTAGCTCATTTGGTTTGTTTATGTAACTTTTTTGCAACAGGCTCTTGTTAAGCTCTAAACTGCTGGGGCTGAGCTAGAACCTGCAGTCCTCCTGCCTCAGCCTCTCAGAGAGCTGAGATTACAGTCATGCACCTCTCTGATCACCTTAGTTGAGTGTCCTTGAACAAATGTCTGAATATACTTTTCTATCTCCATCCCCATCTGTAAAGTGGGTATAAAAATCATACCTAATTTATAAGGTTGTCTCAAGATTAAAGTATTTTAATGGGGTTTTTTGGGTGGGATAATAAAAATTGAACCCATGGAGCACTGACTACATCCCCAGCCCGCTTTTTATTTTAAGACAAAGTCTCACTAAGTTGTGAAGGCTAGGCTCAGACTTGCAATCCTCTTGCCTCAGCCTTAGCATCCCAAGAGCTGACACATGCCACCACAGCCAGAGTATGTAAAGTTCTTAGGACAGTGGCTGCATGCAGTTATGGTAGGTGACCATAATGACTGACCCCCTATCACTTTTACACAAGAAGTAGCTGGTTCTGGAAGTAGTCATAGCAAGCATGCCTTTTAATATTACAGGGTTTGGTTATCTATTTAACTATATTTCCTTTATAGCCAGGATGCTCAATGAGTAACTTTTCTGGTTGTTGTTTTGGGACAGGATCTTGCTGTGTGTTTCAGGCTGACTTTGAACTCTTGGTGATCCTCCTGGCTCAGCCTCCCAAGCCCTGGGATCACAGGTAGGTGTCTTTAGTTCTGGCTCCACATAAAATATTAGGATAAGCAATGCGGGAGCAGATTTACAGGAGCGTTTGCAGGACAGCTATGCATCCTCTGCCCAGGAGTCCAGGAGTGCTGCCTCCTGAGTCCATCAGCCACACAGGGTGAGGGGAGACAAAAGGGGCCACGTGAGTCCCCCCAAACCAACTGCCGAGAATTCACTTCCCCAATCCTCCATCCACGTTCCTGGTTTTGAGGGCTGGGACAACCCCGAGAGGCTAGTAGATATGTTGCATCACCCACACTTCCTTGTTTTTGTGGAGAAGTCATTTGTGGAGTCCTGAGAAGGAATCCAGCTTTCTTAGATCGATGAGTCTGATTCTCCTACCCAGCCTTGACCAGGAGGGTAGGAATCGGCCCAAGAAACTCTCTTTGCAATAAGCAGAAGGAAGCTGGTGAGAAGCAAGACCATTGGTGTAGACAGAGTCTTTGGTTTAACTAACCCGGAGCCTCGAGTGCTTACACGCCCGTGGCCATGACCAGGCACAGTGTAGACGACGTGACACCGCCTGTGCCCTCTAGTAACTTCTGTTCTGTGTGGTACATCAGTCACAGCCAGTGTGTGCATCCCACCAACACCGTCGCAGCCAGCAGCACCCTCGTGTGTCTCATTATTTCCGCGACAACACGGGCCTTGCACTTTCAATGCTTCATTAACTGACAGAAGGGAGCGCGGCCACCTTGTCACGACTGCATGACCACCCTTTGCCTCTCACACAGACTCCACCGATAGCTGCAGAGCCGCACTTCCTGGGGATGTGTTGAGCGACATTCAAGGTTAAGCAAAACTCACCCTCTGACTGTCGGGGGTCCAATTAGCATTTGATGTCACTGGCGGTTAATTATCCAGGGAGCATCGCTGGATTAATCAATGCTGAGGTTGTAGCCCTTGCAGGGGGGAGGCAGCCTATTCCTCCTGGCTGGCACACAGCTACGCTAGTTATTTGTCAGGTCAGCTTGACCTGGACTATATCATAAAAGGCCACATGGGGCAGCTGTGAAAGCCTCTCTGTGATCATAGCACGAGGGTCACATTAAGAATTCTGCGCACATTTAACACATTCAGGAATGGTGAGATAGAGGACAGCTTCTCTCTGGGTCTAAAAGAAATTGCATTTTGCTACTGGTTTAGTCAGTGAAATGCTTTATCTGGGGGCAACATTTCATAGAAAGTAATCTCCAAAAATATTTGCAAATTCCAGTAACTTGGGCAGTACAAGGAAGGCAGAAAAGCTTATTACTGAAAAAAGCCTTTCAGTATCTATGTCATCTATGTCCAAAATACATTACAAATTAACTGTGAGCACAGCCAGAGTGACTTCCAAATAAGATCTGGCATTTTGCTTACAATAATAAAAACAACAAGTTTTTTAAAATTGCCTTTTCTTTTCCTAGAACAATGGTTGGCATGTTGTAAGCTCATGATAAATATTTTTTGAACAAATTTTTGGCTAACCACATGTTATAGTTTGTGTCTCCCCAAAGCACCTCGAAGTCATAGGTAGGCTTTTTCAGAGGTGGCTGGACCTGGAGTGTGTGATTGATTCATGATTCAGTGCTAGGATCAAGGGCACTAGAATTAAGCGTGTGGGTGCTGCCCACCTTGAGGAGTCTGAATAAGCTGAAAGGGACAGAAAGAGCTTCAGCTGTCTCTTGTGCACTTTGCTACCTTCTGCCCACCACGTACTCTGTCTCCTCTGCAATGCCTGTCTGCCGTGCCACCCTGCTTTGGAGCCAGTCAATTGCAGACTGAAACCCTACAAACTGTGAGCTAAATAAACTTTTATTCCTTTAACTTTAAGGTTCAGAGATGCCACTTCAAAAAGTAGAGGTGGTACACCTTAGGCTGTTCTGTGTGAGAGACTCTGATAAGAGTCCAGGAGACCAGAAGGCTAATAGAAATCCTGCCAGTCAAAATTAAGCTCAGGAGATTTCTGCTTGGAAGAACTGCTTGGCTGTTGAACTCCAAACACCATGTCTTATGCCTTGGAAGAAAGTTTGTCTGCATTTTACTTATCACCAGAGAATTTGTCTGAGACTAAGATTAAGGGTGGTTGACTAGTTAATCTTGCAGAAGATATTTCAAGGCAGTCTAATGTTGAGGAAGTAGTATGGCTACTGTTTGGGGCTTTTGGTGAGGTTTATGTTGAGAACCAGGAGCAAATAGCCCAGCAGAATGATTTAAAGTGCTGAGAGTTTGGCCAGAAAGAGAGCTCTCGTAAGATTGCAGCCTGAAAGATGGAACAAAGGAAAAATTGTACACTGAAAAGACCAGCAAGAAAAGCCAAGTATTTCAGAAGAAGACAACAGAAAGAGGACATCACAAGAGCTGACAGGACTCCAGCTTTTGCAGCTTAGAGTTGCAAAGGTGAAAGACTGCTTTGAGAAGAAAGCCCCAGAATACCATGTTCCAGAATGTCAGTTCCTTGGGATTTGGTTCAGAGGCACTAGACTCCTACAGCCATGAGAGAAGGTGACCTGGTTACTACTCCAGCTGGCAGCATGCTGGTTTTAGGTATATGCAGAATGCAAGAGTTGTGGGGTCAGGAAAGCTTCTGTCTAGAGCTCAGAACGCCTGTGTGCCCTGACAGAGCTGTGCATGAAACTGAGTGTGAAATTGAAAGTGGAAACCCCAGAAGTTTGGAGAAGCCAGGAAAACTGCAAGGAGGGAGCAGAGCCAGCCCAAGAGAGAAGCCATGGGGTCTGTATCCATTGTAAATGCTGTAGAGCAGAGCCATCCATACCCTTTGGAGTTCACAGAGCTGCAAGACTTAATGTTTCTTCTGCTGGACTTTGGATTTGCTTTGTTCCCATTTCTTTCTGTCCCTCTATTTTTACCTTTTGGAGTGGAAATGTCTATCTTATGCCCTTGTATTGCAAAGTGTTTTACTTTCTTTCTATTTGTACAGGGGCTTACAGCTAAGAGTTTGCCTTAAACCTCAAAGGAGACTTTGAACTTGAACTTTTTGACAGTGCTGAAACTGCTAGAACTTTGATAACTCTTGGAGATGACCTAAATATATTTTGCATAAAAAATGCTTGAGTCTTTGGGGTTCCAGGGTCAGACTGTTTTTTCTTGTATCTAGATGTCCCCCCAAAGTCTCATGTAGTCATAGGTGGGTCTTTTTCAGAGATGAGTGAATCGAGTGTGTAATTGATTCATGATGCAATGCTAGGGTTAAAGGGTGCTAGGAATCCTCTGTTTGGTGTGGCATCACCCTAATCCTGGTAGACTTTATACAAGGGATAGAAAGAGTCTTCTCTTGTCTCTTGCTCACTCTGCTACTTTCTGCCCACCGTGAACTGTTTTTTTCTTCTCTGTAATGCATGTCTGCTATGTACCACTCTGCCATGGGACCAGCTAACTGGACTGATGCCCTTACAAACTGTTAACTAAATTCCTTTCCTCCTTTAATTTTGGATGTCAGATATTTTGTCTCAACAAGGACGAAAGTAACAAGATACCAGGAAACTAGAATTCATCTGACTTTTACATCTATTGTCAATTTCTTGGTGATTTCTATAGATACTTCAGGGACAAGTGTCAATGCCTCAGTAGCCAAGCTACTTGATAATCAAGATGTGGTCCAGATGCACAGTGCCCCTGAGCCATATCCCTGGCCCACACCATTGCCATCACCTAGCAACCTAGAAGACTTGCAAAATCAAACCAGGAAATGTCAAAAAGATTTCAATATCTTGATTGGCTTCACTCATGATTCTTTAATCACATGATTCACTACATAAAATAGAAGTGTTCAGAAGAGAGGAAAGCTGGCTTCATAAGCAGAAGAGGGTTAAAGAAAGCAGAAGCCAAAGCACAAAGTGGATGAGTCATTTCTAAGTGACTTTCTTGGGAAGACGAAGACGGGGAGATGGGGCAATGGGGAACCACAACCTCTTCTCCTTTGCATTTTGTATGTCTAATGTTTCAGGCCCCCAAAACCCAATAGCATGTTAAAGCTTGAGAAAACCTCCTGAAAGACAAGTGAATGGATCCTAAATTTAATGCCAAGGTCTGCTTGAAGGGAAAATGCAAGAGAAGTGAATCTCAGAAATGGCCATGGAACTGGAGGCGCTGGAGAGCCCAGAACGTGACTCCCAAGTGGAGCGCACAGGTGCACAAGGTCACACAGCCACGCCCAGCGAGTCTGTAGCCTTGGCTGAGTTTTGTGGCCAGCACTGGTGTCATCTGCAGCCAAGAAGGCCAACCTGCAGGCTGCCAGCCTTCAGTGACTTTTTGCATGTCTGCTGGAGCCCTGGACTCCTGGCTGCACATTAGCGGGCTATCTCTACCCGCTTGTTTATGTCAGCCAAGGGTGGCAACCAAAACAATTTAGTTAGTGAGTTTAATTGGCTTTTATTTGCAGCTCTAAAGCAGCCAAGGGTTCCTCCATAAAACAGAAGTGTTCCTGTGGGTGGGCAGAGGAGGCTGGTGCCTTCGCCAGAGAGAAGCTGAACAGAGCACACAGAAGAACAGAAAGCAGCCAGGTTGTCCTTAGGGCTGCTTTACCTGTAAGGGAGGGACAGGGGGACAGAAGAAGAAGGAAGCGGATGGTTGATACACATCGGACTACTTCTCTGTGTAAGGATTAAAGCAGGGGGACTTCATTGTCCTGCTGTTGAAATTGGTGTGTTCCGGAAACCTGGCCTGCTTTCTTCCAGTCCAGATAAACAGATTGACTTCACCATTGTGATGCACAACTTTAGCTCCCAGGTTGCCAGGCTGCTTTGAAGCCTGGTCAGCTCAGGAGCTTGGCCCCCAACACGGTGGTCCTGGAATCTGTATTTAATGTGTCCTTAGAATGGAATGATGTCATGCATGGGACATGAGCTGAGGAGAGCCTTGCTGGGGACATGATGGCTGCCACCAAATCGTGGCTTATGCAGGACTGGACTACTCTAGCCCTACGTGTCTCCTTTCTGTTGGGACCTTCTGTCTACAGAGGATTGACACACA